TAACAAGAGGGTAACAAGGGATCACTTTAAATTACAGCTCGTGGATGTTACACTTACACAGTAACTACACGTAACAAGAAGGTAACAAGGGATCACTTTAAATTACAACCCGCAGATGTTACATTTACACAGTAACTACACGTAACAAGAGGGTAACAAGTGATCACTTTAAATTACAGCCCACGGATGTTACAGTTACACAGTAACTACACGTAACAAGAGGGTAACAAGGGATCACTTTAAATTACAGCCCACTGATGTTACAGTTACACAGTAACTACACGTAACAAGAGGGTAACAAGGGATCACTTTAAATTACAGCCCACTGATGTTACAGTTACACAGTAACTACACGTAACAAGAGGGTAACAAGGGATCACTTTAAATTACAGCCCACTGATGTTACAGTTACACAGTAACTACACGTAACAAGAGGGTAACAAGGGATCACTTTAAATTACAGCCCGCGGATGTTACAGTTACACAGTAACTACAACTAACAAGAGGGTAACATGGGATCATTTTAAATTATAGCCCGGGGATGTTACAGTTACACAGTAACTACACGTAACAAGAGGGTAACAAGGGATCACTTTAAATTACAGCCCATGGATGTTACACTTACACAGTAACTACACGTAACAAGAGGGTAACAAGGGATCACTTTAAATTACAGCCCATGGATGTTACACTTACACAGTAACTACACGTAACAAGAGGGTAACAAGGGATCACTTTAAATTACAGCCCATGGATGTTACACTTACACAGTAACTACACGTAACAAGAGGGTAACAAGGGATCACTTTAAATTACAGCCCACGGATGTTAGACTTACATAGTAACTACATATAACAAGGGTGTATGTTTGCATAGTAGTTAAGAAAAATGTTGTAGTTCATTTTATTCTACTTGCCTCGAACCACATATGGAAGTTCAAGTGTACCATCAGCACTACAGCACTACATTACATCAAAAAACATCAATTATACAGTAGATATACATGTGTTGTGTATTATGATGTTATATTTATATGTTATATCCTGGGAGCAGCTGGAAACAGGTAATGTACTTTTCCACTGTATTGCACCTCGACGGTACAATGCTGCTGACGGACTCGCTGCTGAGATGACCATATGCATCAGGTAAATTTTCATTTGGAAATTTCTAAACCAAATCATAGCAGAAACTCATTAAATAATTTTCCCATACTTTATAATCTCCATGATCCCACATAAAGAAACACTAGTAAATACTATAGCATATATTCTTAACTAAACTCTGGTAAAAATGTATAAAGACTATGGTGGACTATTAAACTTTACTATAATTACTAAATGATAGCCTACTATAGTATACTACAGTTTACTATTTGTATCAGTCATGTAAGATATAGGTTGTAATAATACAATAAGTACCCAGTACATAGTGTAAAAATATATTGCATCATATATTTTGTGTTATTACAATAAGGCAACTTCTAAATCATAATATTGTTGCCTAACACAGTAGGTCATGCATACCACGTAATCTTAGAATAGTTACACCTTACTTATGAAATACTAACAGTATAAATACTTTTAATTTTCCAAGTCATTACCCCCTTATCCCCCAAACATTGCACATTGTTTCCGTTTACCTACACGTACGTACAGCTGTAAGTTATGCTTACGCAGAAAATTTCGATCTGTGTGTCATACATACCACGTAATTTCAGAATAGGTGCCCTTTAGTTATAAAATACTTACAGTATAAATGCTTTATAATTTCGCAGGTTATAACCCCCTTATTCCCCAAACATTGCATATTATTCCCTTATATCTACGAGTAGGTACTGTGGAGGTACTTTTTAGTTACAAACAGGTACGCTGTAAATTCTGTTTAATTGCGCGGTACATTGCGGGCTGTAATCTAAAGCGTTACCAACTTCTCTTCTTCTCCAGACTCACCTTATGAGACTCCACAGCCTCTCTCAGCTGCTGAAGATCTTTCTCTCTCTGCTGGATTCTCTGCTGGAACGTCTTCTGCGTCTCCTTCAGCTGCTTCTGCAGGACAAATGACAGTAAATATTACAGAAAACTACTGGCACTAAATCATCATGTGAACAGATTAATCCAGTAAAAGTGGAACTGATAATAATGGCTGTAGGTTCAAACTCCAGAAGGGATGATCGTTTACCACCATCGTACATGAATTAACATGAAGATTAAGGCCTGTTTCACACTACAAGAGTAAGTATTATAAAGGTGAAACTGACACAGACGTAGAGCTTCAAATTGAAAGTGTTTCTGTGTTTTGTGTAATTAAGCTTTGACTCTATACAGAAATAAACAGACTATTGGATCACTACACTGAGTATTAACTTGATCGCTAGTATTAATCACCTGTTTCTCTGTCCTCTGTGCTGCAGCTGATACAGTGTCGTGGTTTTTATGCTGATTACAGAACCGGCTTTCTGACAAGATGCGCATTAAATATCGCATGCGATTTATCGTGCAGCCCTAATTTCTGGTCAGTGCGACAGAAAACCTCAAGGACCTTCTCATGTTTCTGGCAGATCATCTCCTGCAGTCGTCCAGTGGCATCAGTCACTTTGTGTCTCTTTCCTCTAAACCAACTCTCATGTTGTTCGAGGTGATTCTGACAGTAAGAGTTCAGACACACCAGACAGGACTTGACGGCTTTGTATTTTCTTCCAGTACAGACGTCACACTGCACATCTCCAGCTCCAGCTCCAGCATAACAGTCAGCGGGTAGTATAGTCTTCTTCAGTTTCTCCACCATTTCAGCCAGCATGGTGTTTCTAGCTAAAGCAGGTCTTGGACTGAAGGTCTGTCTGCACTGAGGGCAGCTGTAGACTCTCTTCTGATCCTCCTGATCCCAGCAGTCTGTAATACAGCTCTTACAGTAACTGTGTCCACACTGGATGGTCACTGGATCCTTCAGGAGATCCAGACACAACGGACATGAGAGCTCATCCTGAGAAAATCTGGCTTCTGCCATTTTACTGCATGAATACAGAGACGCAACACACAACAGCTCAACTACACTTTCACTTTCTTTTTCCCTTAAGTCATGTGATTCCTGTTTCCCGGTTCTGTGTTTGAGAGACGTGTGTAAAACAGGCGTGTCTGCGAGTCTGTAAAGCTTGAAATGTCTACTAGATGTCAGTCTCAGACAAACACTCAAAGAATACAAGTTACAGAAAAGCAGGACAACAGCCTTAAAAACGTGACCAGCCACCATCCACTGTTAGGCAATGCTGAGTAGATTAATAACAAATTGTAGTCTGTTACTGATTACAGATTATATGATGAAAACTGAAGTTAGTAACAATTTAGGTTACTCGTTTTATTTTTATTTATTCTGACTACTTTTTCGATTACTTTTTTTTTTTTTTAATCAAACTTGTTTGAAACTTAGCATTAAACGTACCATTTCAGTCAGGTACACTTTGTCAAAGTATATTTATTACAATAAAGAAAAACAATCATAGCGACGAGAACCCTTTACTAGATTAGACAGATCCCATAGATTTTTGAGCATCTAAAATGTCCTTAAGTCCAGGACGAACATAACGTTCGTATGTGACAGAAGACCATCGTCCAAGACATAGGTCATCAACCGTGCTCCTGGAGACCCACTGTCCTGCAGAGTTTAGCTCCAACCCTAATCAAACACACCTGAACCAGCTAATCAAGATCTTCAGGATCACTTGAAAAGTCACAGGTCAGGTGTGCTGAAGCAGGTTGGAAATAAACTTTGCAGGACGGTGGGTCCCCAGAACCAGGGTTGAAGACCTATGGTCCAAGAGCTTTCATTGTGGCAGAGGCCGCTGATATGGCTGCTCCGATCCGAAAGGAGTGAGTCATGTATTGCTCTGGTGGGAGGCCACAAGATTGGCAGACCAAACGGAGATGAGTGGCAAACCAGGATCTGGACATGGCTTTTTTTCTCCTCAGTGATGAATAGAGGTTCATCGGGATGAGCATGAGGGCGAAAACTCAGATACCGGGACATGGAATAAAAAGGGCAAAAAACTGTATTAGTATGAGCAATGACAACTGGAATACCTTTAGATTCTTTGTCAGACTTTGAATGTTTAAGGAAGATGGGGGAAACAACTTGTCAAAAGTGACATCAGACACTGTGAGAACGTGAGAGTGATCGAAATTATTATTGCGTGTAGTGAATTCACCAACCCTGAGAAAGCCATGAAAAGTACAAAGGAAAACGGCTTCTAAAAGTGAATCCACATAAGGACTGAAGCACCCCTGTCTCAGTTTAACAACCAGTTTTTTTATTACGAGATAGAAAGTAAGAGGAAGGCGTTTGTCTTTGCCTCTTGGCACTTTTTTTTTGAGACCATCGAGGAGCAGACGGATAGATGGATGCTCCAAAAGACTGCAGACGGATGGATCCAAGCATCTGCCTGAAACCTGACTTTTAATGGAGGAGGGCTGCAATTTTTGTGCTAAATGACAGTGTATTATATATGAACATACAATAGCAATATTAACAGGCAAAACAGAAACTGAAAAGGTTGGGCAAAAGGTAGAAAATCGAATCCAAGCAGAGTCATACATTTTTAATGTAAATTTGGCTAGACTTGATCTCATGTACAGTGAAGCTGCCGAAAGATAAGACTGCAGAGTGGTGTTTAGTCGAGGACAGTCAGGGCGAATGCTGGGCAAGGCAGGCACATAGTTTTGGCATCTGGGCACATAGTTTTGAACTCCTGAAATTTAAAACGAGACAGACAGTCAGCTATTTTGTTATCGAGGCCAGGTATGTGAGCAGCGTGGAATTGCCAATTGCCAATAATGCATGTCCACATTAGACTCCTCAAAAAAAATTGAATGAAGGGAACTAATTGTTTTCTGTTTTCTGGACCACTGATTGCCCCAAAGAATGCAGGCTATGACGACAGGATATCATTCTAACAGCGCTGTTGATAGTGTGTTAGTAGGAAGAGTCGACAATTCCTTTGGCCAAGTGCTTGCAAACCAACGATTATTGAAAAAACCTCCGAATCCGATTGAAAGAGTGGCGTCAGTAAAGAAACTGAGGTCGATAGAAGATACTAAATCGTTGTAAAAAAAAAAAGAAATCCTGTTCCACCCTTCACATAGAAGAGACCAAAAATGCAGCTTGGATTTGCAGCCTGAATCTAATTTCATAGAATCATGCAATTTCTCGACTGTTTTTGATATATCAATAAGTCTAGAAATGGAAGCGTCAGCGCAAGTTCTGTCAGGAAGACTCCAATGCCACGTCATTCATTCATACTAACAGGTCTGACCAATCACTGCTTGACACCTGGAGTATGTAAGTACTGAACTGTCTGTTTCATTTTCGCAGTTGACGATGCTGACGTTCCCCTCCATCCTCCCCACCACCACCAGGTTGGCCCTGTCCATCCACAGGGATGCTGCAACAGCCGAACGTAAGTCTAACAGAGAATTATATTTTTTTACGCCATTGAACTCCGAAGAGGTACCACTGAGACGGATGAAGCGTCATGATTTTAAAAGCATTGACGATGTCGGCTTTGCCCAGCCAAGCGCCCTTACCAGCTGTTTTAATGAACTGAATGGCATTATCTGCTGAAGCATAAAACAAAGAAAAAACAGGGAGAGGAATCAAACTGTTAATGCAAGGTACATGAACATTGTCATGAGGAGATGACAGATCTATTATTAAACGTTTTTTTTCCGGAATTTCCTTGTAGCTACACCTAAAGGATTAATACAAAGTACTGAAAAGAGGGAACTATCGAAGGGACCAATCATATATCCTTTCTCTACCTCTTTTGCCAAAAAAATATCGACTACTTCAGGCTTTTTGAAAGCTGACTGAAGATTGTTGTAAATGAACGATGTGTTTGGGAGGAGTGTTAAACCAGCCAAAAGTCCTTGAAAAAGTCCAGTTATCAAATAATGCACAAAACAGCGATTGGGATGCTTCCTCAAAGCTTTGTCAAGTTCAGGAACATTGACAGGCGTAGAAGGCTTTATTTTATCTTTTTTTAAATGTGCATTCTCTGAGGACACATAGACTTGGGATGTCCGTCTCCACAATAACTGCAAGCGTGAATGCACTTACAATTAGGAAACCTGGACACACCTTCGTTAAAATTATGACACATAAGAGTATGAATCACTAGGGTAAGCTTTTCTGCTGCGTCGTCTTTAGGTAAGTGGCCTGCCAGAGGATTAGCAATTCTCAGGCACAAAGAAGGAGTATGCGCAAATGAACCACATAAGGAGCAAGACAAGGCGCTATGACCGAAAAAATGTCTGCTTATTAAAGCCAAGTCTACCATGGACCAGTCCAGTCTTTGGTTGAACCGTTGAATGTACATAGCTGCCTTAACCAAAAAAGATTTATGGTACTTGTAGAACGGAGTCCCACCAAAAGATCGGACATGGTGAGTAATATAATAATGACTTTACTCATTGCCAATGTTAAATTAGCTTGCAGCCATACAATATGTTAAAGGTGCTGTATGTAAGTTTTTGACTCTACTAAAGCATAAAAATACCAAAATATGTTTGCAGATATTTAAGAAACGTGCTAAGTTAACATACTTGTTTATCTGAAAAACAATGCTACAGTCAGTTATTCTCCTTCGAAAATGTGCGTTCTGGGCCGGAATGTCGGTCTCTGTTTTGGTTTGTGAAACCCACCCACTGCCAGTTTACCCAATTGTATTTCGGGACCCCGTGTTGCCAGTTGGCGGAAAACATAGCGTATTTTTTTATTTCATTCATCGTCAAGTACGCTCGTTCCTGTTGGTGTCGTCAATCTGGCAACCTGCGTGTGTG